GAACAAGCTCTATGTGTCATAGAATTTTTCTATTGTCTTCTTTTCTCAATTTTGTTTCTTTCTGTTCTTACAGGTACTACTTGTTTTCTTCAGTTTCCTTTAGGCTATTTTGCTGCTACTTTTTCTACGTTATTGAGGTGGGAACATAGATTTTGATACGTGATTTTTTCTCTTTTTTAACACAATTTCAAGTTAATTAATATAGAGTTTAGTATTGGTTTCAGAGGTAGAATTCAGTGATTCATCACTTACATATAACATCCAGTGTTCATCCCAACAAGTGCCCTCTTTAATGCTCATCACCCATTTAGCCCATCCCTCCAAACACCTCCCTCCATCAACCCTCAGTTGGTTCTCTATATTTAAGTCTTTCATGGTTCGCATCACTCTCTGTTTTATCTTTTAAATTTTCCTGCCCTTCCCCTATGTTCATCCGTTTGTTTCTTAAATTTCACATGAGTAAAAGCATGTGATATTTGTCTTTCTCTGACTGACTTATTTCCCTTGGCGTGATACATTCTAGGTCCATCCACGTTATTGCAAATGGCACGATTTCTTTCATTTTTATTGCTGAGTGATATTCCATTATATATGTGCATATATGCCACTTTTCCTTTATCCATTCATCAGTTGATGGACATTTGAGCTCTTTCTACAATTTGTTTACTGTTGATAGTGATGAGGGAAACAAAGGCCAGAGAAATTTTGCTTAAATGAAATCTCCTTACAGTTTGCTGCCCACCGATAAACATCTGAAACATGCAAAGTGTGACCTTGCTCCAGGAACTCAGGGCTGCCTTACTTCCTTGACATTTTTTGTACACCTAAAAGTAAACTTATCTTCACAGCAGCTAGGCCCTCAAGGTCCTGAAAGCCTTGCTTCCAAATTCCTTAGAGACTTACACTATCCCTAGCCCCCACTAACTTAAAAACATATCATCAGTCACTCCTCACAACCTCAGTGCAGCTCTTTTTGTCCACAAGTCCTGTCCCTGTGCTTTAATAAAATCACTCTTTTGCACCAAAGATGTCTCAAGAATTCGCTCTTGCCATTTGCTCAAGAACCCCATCATATTGGCGCTCTTATGTGAGGCTTACTGAGTCTTTTCATCTGTACTCCGAGCCTTGGTTCAAACTTGGTGAGAACTTTCTCTTTTCTTCCTTTACTCTCATTTCAGGGGCATTTCAAGGACTGGGCTCTTATTGGAACACTTTCATGTCGATTTCTCAGTCTATAATCCTCTAGCCCATGTCTACTTGCCAGAGAGGAGAAAGCCTCCCTTTCAGCTGGAAGTTAGTACCCTGGCCAGAATGGTATTAAGACCCAGAAACTTGATGCCTTCTCTTTATTCCTGTCTTCATACAACGTTGTCTTTCTTGGGCATGGGACAGCCACCTAAGAAACTAGCACAGCTCCCAATCTTATGACTCCTGTGTGAGGGTTCCTCCTTATTGGTCTAATGTGATCCCCTCCACATCCCTGGTCTAGCCACTTCTGGCCACAAGACCTCCACTAGAAGCCTGCCAAAACCAGTACCTGATTGAAGTAAAACCCAACCGGGGACCATTTCCTACGAAAGTTGGATGTAAAGACAATACGTGTCGGAATGTCGCTTAGATCATGATGGATTTCTATGTTTAATCTTTTCTGTCAATGTCCTCTAGTAACTACTTAAATGACAGAATTGGGTAATTCCCCCTTGTAAAACATTTCTAGTGTTTTCCATGGGTTAAAAACGGCACAGCCTTCAAGGAAACTAAGGCATGACCTTCATGGCATGCTCCTCAAAACAAAGTGAACGAAGACATGGCCTTCTACAGCCTGGCCTTTTATGGTACAGCTTTCCAGGCACAGCACCGCACAGTATTTCTGTTCATATCACAGGCACACATTTGTAGCCGAGGTTTCAATGGAGAAGCGAAGGGACACTAGCATCCCTTCTCCATTATCTTTGAAAATTTTCTGGAAGATATATTTTTGTTTACAAAATTAAGTCTCGGCATGTTAATTTCTAAGAGCAAACAAATAATCCTCTTCCTCAGGTGCTGTTTTTAATTGTAATTGGGTTTATAGCTGCCATTTAATACTCTCTGTTAAAAAAAAAAATCACAAACTGATGCTTCCCATCAACAATGTATCATCCTTTATGAGGAGATACTTTAAAATACTAACACTCTAGGGGTGCCTGGGAGGCTCAGTTGGTTAAGCATCTGACTTCAGCTCAGGTCATGATCTCACCATTCCTGAGTTTGAGCCCCTCTTCGGGGGCTCTGTTGTGACAGTTCAGAGCCTGGAACCTGATTCCAATTCTGTGTCTCCCTCTCTCTCTGACCCTCTTCTGCTTACGCTCTGTCTCTTTCTCTCAAAAATAAATAAACGTTAAAAAGTCTTTTAAAAAAAAAAATAGTAACATTCTGATAGTACCAGATACTATAGTTTCCCTGCCTGAAATTGTTCTCATCTATCCCATCGAATATTTCTTTCTTTCCAAAGAAAATTATTTGCTCCCATCTTTCCAACACATCAGGTGAGGCAAGCCCATCCCCAAAAAGGATGAAGCATGATTTGTCTGAGCGTATCGCCGTAATCCTGTGGTCCTCTCAACATGTGGGAAGTAGGTCTACTGGGGACACCTGAAAAAGGTATAGATCACCCTTATAAAAGCATACAAGAGCAGTTCCCTTTTCCTGCCTTTGGAAATTATGAGATACAATGAAGCATAAAGCTGCTGCAGGCATCCTACTACCATTTCAGGAACACTGACAAGTGGTGTGCGATAAGGAGATGAGGCACAAAGTCCCAGCATCACTTGTGACACGACTGGCCTGATGAATTGACCAGTCTGGAGATGAGGTACCTTGGGTCTATCTGCTCTGTGAGACAAGTAGTTAAAGAAAAATATAGTCAATTAGATTGCGTTTTTCCATTAGCAACACAAAGCATCTCCACTGAAATACTCCTGCCATACATTTTAATTCTATATTATAAAGTCACACCATAGGTCTCAGATAAAATTCACTTCTTCATCTTAGGGAACAAAATGAAAGTAAAGTTGCAACCCTGGGATCAGCAGAACTTATCCCAACCATATAAATATTGCATACGTTACTGTTAGTTATTAACTTCCCAGACGATGGTAACCTGTTTCACACAAATAGTGCACAATATATGACTGAAATATACATAAACTTTGAGTTGGCTTGAAATTTATAGCTGTCTCTGATCGTGGAGAAATTGTGTCTGAGTGCCTATTACCTTGAAATAAACTTCTGAATCTGTTGTCTGCTCTTTAGGTTTAATTTACATTTGACACTGACTCTTCAGACAGAATATGATAACAGAACCCATCATCTACTCAAACAATTGCGTTGCATTTCTCTGAAACCTTTTTAACTCTTTTATATTACTGAAGTTTATGAAAATTAACTGTATATTGATTTATACTTATGATTCCACATTGTTTTATGCAGGAGGCACAAATATTTGGTTTCCTTGTCTAGTTTGTTCCCCTCATATACTCTCTGTCACATTTCTTTCATTAAATTGGGTTCATCTGTATATATTGTGTAAAGTTTTATTACATAAAATATTGCCAGTTCTGTACTATTAAATAAGAGGGGTGCCTGGGTGGCTCAGTCGGTTAAGCCTCCGTCTCTTGATTTCCACCCAGGTCATGATCTCATGGTTCATGAGTTTGAACCCTGCATCAGGCTTCACATTAGCCTGCTTAAGATTCTCTCTCTCTCTCTCTCTCTCTCTCTCTCTCTGACCCCCTGGTCCTCACTAAAGGCTCGCTCTCTCTAAAAGAAATTTTTGTAATTAAAAAACTATCAAATAAGACACTTTCAGAAACGTTCAGCTTTCATTCCTATTCCCTTCAATCTATTCCCTCATTGTGCCCAAGAGGCAACCATTTTTTAAAAGTCCTTTTGTTGTCATATATAAAAAAGTAAATAGACTTAATAGATGATGGAGAAAGAGATAATGATAGATGGATGCAGATAAATTGAATTGATGTAGCTATGTATTCCTATTCTCTTCCTCGATCCTATTACACAGAATGTTGTGTGTTGTACAAAATCTCCTTACCTGTACAGAAGTGGAGATTATTGTAAGCAAGGGTTATTTTTTTCTTCTAGCTACATAGTATTTCACTGTTTGTATGCACATCACAGTATTCATAATTTCCTTCTTTGTTTCCCAGCATTGCCTTGGATTTCTAAGATGAGATCCATACAGGATGTTCCCGTACAAACAATACATTTGCTTACAATCTGGAAGCCCTCAGACATACCTCTTTTCCACTAGAGTTGTGGCTTTGTCCTGATGGTCTAAGGGGAAGGATGGGGAAGGATGTGTCTTAAGCCAAAGTGTCAGCATGCCACTGATGTTTATCTGAGACACAGAAAGTGATGGAAGTGTAGATACAGCCCACCGTCAGGCTAATGAAAGGGGTTTCCACAGGTTTAGAGACTTTAATATGGAAAATCAAGGAAAGGGGCACCTGGCTGTCTCAGGCAGTGGAGCATTCGACTCCTGATCTCAGGGTCATGAGTTTGAGCTCCACGTTGGCTGTGGAGCCTACTTAAAAATAAAATGAAATAAAAATGTGAAAAGTAAAATAAAAAATCTGGGAAAGGAAACAAAGTGAGTACAAAAATTTTGTGGGTGTCATATCATTATAAGTTAGTGGATTTCTGATATTTTTTGTCCCCTCTCTTGTGCAAAGGGACTTCTGTGTTTGTCTTTGAGAACACACAGGTGTAGGACACCAGCATCATATGGGCCACGAAGCTCCATTTCCTAGCTCCTGAAAACACGCCTAATTACAGAATGGAAAAAGACCAAGTAAAAAAGGACATGATGCAAAGATACCTTCCAGATCCACATCTGACCCAAATTCTGGAATATAAATAAAAACCAATATTGTAATTTGTTGCAATCCTCCCTTTCTCCCTTTTTTTCGCTACTTCTTTTCCTTGAAACTATATGCAACGGATGATTGTCACTCCATGTTTATTTGAGAAAAGCTGATAAAGACACGTGAACAGAGGTGAGTTCCAATGTAAAGGAGGCATTAAGGGCTGAATACACAGGGAGCTGGGAGAGAATGAAGATAAGGAACTGCACTCAGTACTGGGGCTTCCAGGTCAAGGACGGGGTAGAGGGAGCCATCAGGGAGGACAGGTTCTGCACGGTCACTGAACCCAGGGCAAACCAAATCCTGAGAAAGCACTGTGTTTGTGGAAGAATACGAGCCAAACAGGAAATGTTTTCACTGTGTGAAGAAGCCTGAAAAGAAGGTTCTTCCTGGAGCGTCAGCATCTCCACTTCAGCTCAGGAGTCCTGCAGAAGACAGAGCAGAGTGTTGTTCCCAGACCCACCTCCACAAGCAGCTTCCTCTCCCCTCTCTCAGGGCCTCGTGTTAAAGCACTACAGTAAGAAGAAGAACATATTCTTTCTTATGTATCCTTGATCTAAAGCTATCTGCAGTGCAGGCCTTTTAGTAAGTGGAGAGAAGAAGCTTCAGTTAACTGCCTGAGCAGAAGTCAGATCCAAAGTCTTTGACATTGTTTCTGTCTTTTCATCTCCACCATCTGTTCCAGGATAATCAACTCTATCTCTAAAGAGGGTCAAAGAGCATTACCTGTTGGCTGAAGTCCAGAGTGTCCTGGGAAAGAAAAGGGACAACATACACTTAACAGAGACACAGGTAAATCTGTCCCCACATACAAGGTCCCACCCCCAGACCCACCTACCACCACAACCCGCATCGCATGATGCCAGTGGGATCAGAGAGGGAGAGATGTGACCCGGGAAGTTTCTATCACACCAATCTACTGTGGCTTCATTAGCTTTCATAGCTCTTCCTGATTTGGCCCAGGACCCCAACCCAAGACATCTGTCTTGTTAACCTCTTTCTTGTCTCTACAACCCATAATCTCTTATGCTGAAACACAGTAACCATGGGCCCTTGCTGTCTGGATTTCTAGGAAATCTGAGGGCAAAGGGAGAAGGAAAGGCTTTACAAAGCCACTGGTCTACAGAGAGTTTATGCGATCAAAGCTGTATTTCTCTCCCACAAGGTCTATAGGGAGGCCCAGCTACCAACAGGTGCCTTACCTTTCTGATTCCGGAAGTAGATGAACAGCCCCACCACCAGGAAGAGCAGACCCAGAACAAAGCCCCCGATTCCACTCAGCATCTTGCTCTGTGCAGATTCAGACTGAGCCCCTGAGAGAAGAAGCAGTTTTAGTGATTTTGCCCCAAATCCAACTTCTCTGACAGACACTCTAGGATTGAGAACTTCGAGAATGAGGAATGTGGCCTGCCCTGGAAGAAGGAGAATAAGTGGCAATTTCTAGGGGGAAAATATTTTTTTTTTAAAAATCCCATTGCGTAGATACAAGGTTTGGGTATTGAACTTTTTAAACATCACAGCTTTGACAAATCCACTACTTCAGCATCTATGGATGAGGAGCCTGAGACTCCATGAAGTCAAGTGCTTGTGCAGGGTGACAGAGCTAAGACTGGATTCCCCTCCTGTCAGAAGGACCCTGTACAAAAGAGGATGTGCTTCTTCCTGGATCACAACGAACAACACACAGCAGTGGTGCCAGAAGCACAAACTCAGCCCGAGGCAGGGGACTAGTGCCCAGCATCACAGGAGAACCACTGCCCGTGAGCCATGGAAAGTCTCAAAACATGGACAACCTCGTTTCTGCAGCCAGGCATAACTACCTCCCCAAGGGTTGTAGGGTCTGGACGCACAATCACAGAATATCTATAACCTATCAGAGGATTCTACCACAGGATATCACTTGGCTCATCCCAGTGACCTGTGCTAAAGAGAAGAGAACATGGAACAAATGAAAATACGGTGTAAGGAGAGAACCCTGGCACTCAGGGAAAGCAAAGTCCCCTCCCTGCTGGGCGAGGAACCTATGGGATCAGAAAGCTTCTCACTCCACTCCACGGTGAGAGGGCTCGTGCGACTTGGATGCTCCACGTGGCAGGTGTAGACCTCTCCACTCTGAGGAACCGTTTCCAGCATCACCAGGGTCTGGAAGGTCCAGTCTCCATTACGGATCAGGCCTGTGGACACGACCCCAGTCTCCTCTTCCTGGCCGTTCCGGAACCACTTGACCTCAATGTGGCCTGGATAGAAACCATTCACAGAGCAGACCAGGAGGTTGTGGTGCTGCAGGGGCTGCGTCTTCGAGGGGAACACGGTCACTGTCGGCTCAACTAGAAGACAAGTGGTAGCGGGACTAAGTGAGGACGACAGAGTGAGTCTCCCTGGCTGGCTGCCCTCCTGCCTCCGGTCTCTGGTCCCAGGCTGCATCTCGTGCAGGCCTCCCTCAAAGCTGGCCACGTGGCCCAGTACCAGCCAGTCTCATGAGTCTTGAATTCAATCCTGACAG